AGAGATATACAGATGCCGCATCTGTAATATTCGCAAGTCACTGACGAGCAACGACAGATAGATAGGTAGATAGATAGAAAGATAGATAGACAGATAGATAGATAGATAGGATAAGAGTAGTCATGGTGGCGACGTGGCCAGCTAGGTTGCGAAACGGGTAACTAGCTATTTTTTATTGGGGGGGAGGGGCGGAAAAGGGAGGGGGGCCCCCAAAGCAAAGCCGGGGACGCCCCTGCAGCCGTCCCAACACGCGGACCGAGGTGGGTGACGGAGGGGAGTGAGGGGGACAGCTCGTCGCTCACCTTGAGCGGGAACACAAGCACACTGGTAGGCGGCTTGATGAGGCGCGTGTTGAAGATGTCGGCTGACACGTTGCCCGACTGGTTGATGACCTTTTGAACGTCAGGAATCATAACCTGTACAACCACGTGGGGCGGGGTGGGGTGGGGGGCACGGGGGGAAGGGGAGGTTGCCTGTGTGTGCGTGTATGTGTACGTGTAAGTGTACATGTATGTGTGTCTCCAGCTGCGGAGCGACACCCGCTAAGAGATGCAAATGCCGAATCAAACACGTGCCAAAAGTAACTTCCCATCTCCAACGGAACCCCCCCCCCGACCTCCCCCCTCTTCACATGTCCCAGCCATATGTCATCCCCCCCCCTCCCCCTCCCTCTAAAAACACAACCACGTGTGTGTGCGTGTGTGTGTTTCATTCCGCCCCCACCCAGCTTCCCCCGCTCCTTTCCCCCTCACCTGTTGTCTATTGTGTACGGCAATCTTCATTACTGTGTTTTTCATGGCCACCACCGTCCTCATCACCCCCCCCGCCGCCTGAACCTCCTTGAGCAGCTTGAAGGAGGAGGACCCCGTGGGGTTGGACAGAGTGCGCTGCATCAGCGTGGGGGGAACCTGAGGACATACATACGAACATACATACACCGACAAAGGGGAGTAGTTGAGGGGAGGGGGTCAGATCAAATGCCGTATCATGATTCTGCCGACCACCACCACCACCACCAGCACCACCAGCATGATGATGCGGCCCACTCAACTCCTGGGCATAGCCGCGTGTTCCATTCATGACCATGTGCGGGGTGTGATCCCGCAACAACAATACAGCTCCTCCTGTCCGGCTGCATCCGATGCTCCCAACGCTGACATAACCCATTGTTGGCCTCCCTCCCGCCCCTCTCCCTCCCGCCCCTCTCGCTCTCGCAACCCCACGTTCACCCCCTTCACACACCCGCGGCGGAGAGAGAGAGAGAGCGCAAGAGACCGACCGACAAACAGAGAGACATAGGGGTTGGGGGTACTCTCTAGGTGCAAACCCCTCCCCCCTCCCATAGCCCACAGGGCCCCCGGGAAGCCATTTCGCCAGGCCTTACCCCCCTCACCCCTTCATCCCCACCCCTGAAGGCGCCTGTTCCTCCCCACCCCACCCGCTGCCACCCCCCTCCCCCTCCCCCACCACCACACGCACTCGCACTCCACCTGGCATACCTGTGCCCACCCCCCCTCCCCCGCACCGAAACCCACCCGCAACACCCGACCCTTCACCCACCTCACCCCCGGCCAACCCAACAGCACCCCTAGCCCCCAACTGCCACACCAAACCAACCACAAAAACCACAACCAGCTTAACCGAAAGCAACCACCAACCACAACCAACCGCAGTACCGCACCTGCGTCAGGTCGTCAAATATGGTTGAGGCGGTATTGTTGGGCGCCGTGAGCCCGATTCGGTACCAGATGTGGTGGTTGTTGCTGTGGCCCAGCACCGTCCGCAGATGCTGTACCACCTTGTGCATCAGGCTGTCCAGATCCCCCGTCTCGTGGAGGTCCTTAACCAGGGTCATGTACTTGGGAATGGAGTTGTCCTTCACCATGCTGCTCAGGCTGGCGGCAACCAACTGGAGGTACGTGGGAAACCTGGGGGAAACGCCGGGGGAAAGCAAGACGTGTGTGTGTATGTGTGTGTATGTGTGTGCGTGATGTCAAGTAAACTGCGCTGCGGGGTGCAAGTGCTGGCGATGTCACGTGTGCAACTTTACAAAAGCCGCACAGTTATGTCACGATGTGTGTGTATGTATGTGCATGTGTGTGTGTGTTGGCGGGAAGGTGCGAGAAGGGGGAGTTTTAGGACCGAAACGTTGTCACCCAAATGAAGGCAAGCAGGTCCCGGCGTCGGCGCTGGTGTAGAGGGTGCAGCGCCGTCGTATTCCGCGGCCCAGTTATGTACGACATGTGGGTTTTACGGGTGAACTTCCCCCGACGCAATCCCCTCCCCGAGGAATGGCCCCCCCCCAGTAATTTCTCGCTTTCCCCCCCCCAGGAGCCCGCCCCCCTCCAATGCCCTACCCAGACCCTACCATCCTCCCCCTCCTCCCCCTCCCCCTCCTCCCCCTCCTCCCCCTCCCCCTCCTCCCCCTCCCCCCCTCTAAAACACTTCTCAGCGCCACGACGGTCGCTTACTTACATGATGTAATCGGCCTCGTCGGCGGCTGCATCACCGAACCCAACGGTGAGCGTGCCGATGACCTTGTCGGATACTTTAATCGGAACCGCGGCTATGTACGTCAACCCTGCAGGAACCAAAACCCACACACATGCAAACATTTCACACACACATGTAAACATGCAGAAATAGCTACTTATCGTCGTCGTCGTCTTCCTCCTCGACCCAAATTTCACAACAACTCACATACATACAGGCGGGACACGCGCACATGTCCTGTTTTCCAGGTACTCCTCCGCGAGCCGCAACAACTGGGTTTCGACGGGGCGTGTTTGTGCTGACGGGTGTGTCCTTTCCTTACTGCCTCCTGGGGAATACAACCAATGCCCTTCCCCCCTTGCCTCTTTCCCCGTTGTGGGTCTTCCTTCCCTAGCTCATGGCCATGACGGGGGGCCTATCTCACCCGGAAGCTAACCCTGGTGCTGACCCACATCAGCATATGCCCCACATGGCTTGACGCATGTTGTGGAAATATCTAGAAGGCGACGTGTATGTGCACCGACGTAGCGCATATCGTGATTCTCATACACCCCTAGGTGGTGTATGTTTGGACCCACCCCGAGGTTTGCAGCCACAGCAGGCAGACAGCAATGAACGGGACAGGGAGTGGGTTCAAAGGGGGAGGAATTCCACCGGCCGCTGTCCACGCACCTGCGGCGCTGGCCAGAGTAGCCCAGTCTGATGGAGCGGGCGCCTCGCTCGCTGATGGCTGCCAGTAGAAGAAATCCGTCGCCTTCTGGAGGATACGCTCTGCTGAAGAATTTGAGCCTGGTACTTTTAAAAGCCGATTGCCCTCGTGCACCGTATCGGGCACTCCGACTGCTGTCACGAGCAGCGCATGCTCTTGCGTCTCCGAAAGGACACTGACGCTGTTGGGGACAGAGAACGCCATCAGCAAGGCTATTTGGTAATATCGTTGCATGCAGATGCGGCTCACCTGGCATATTTGGCCCGGCAATCCGCAGTGACCAAGTTCAGAGCGCGTCTGACAGCCTGCACTGGCGTTGTGCGCTCGCTACGGCCCTCAGCAAACTTCTGTATAAGAGTGCTGACCTGTAATTTTGTCATCAGGAGGGAATGAGCTGTCAAGACGAAACGCGTCGGCAAACAAGGCGCAGATGCCGCACCTTAAGCAACGTTGCCTGCACAGCGTTCGCCTCATTTGCGCTTAACGACTTCAAGCTTTGATTAACTGCTGCTTGCGATCCAGCAGGCTGTGCATTCTGTGCGGCAGCAGGCGTCGCGGCCGCCTGCTGCTGCCCTGCGCTCGGGGACTTCGCAGGAGGAGCAGCATAGAGAGGAGATTGCGCCTGCGAAGCTCCATTTCCGTTCTGCGCCGGTGGTTGCTCAATTCCCTCCTTAGAAGCAGCCTTAGGAGCGCTGTTGTTGTGTCCATTCTGCGCCGGAGGCTTCACCACCGCGTCTGCCTCAGGTTGTGAAGCGGCGCAACCCATGGCCCTCTGAAACTGAGCACCCGAGAAGTTTCACACTATTGTTCTTCACTGTAAACGTTAGCAGGCTTCCCAAGGCGATATGTAGCCAGGGGCCCCGCCCCGGTTAATGGGCGGGGAAGAAACCGCACTGCGGGGTAAGACTCTTCAGCGTGCGAGGATACTGTCGAAAGACGTCCAATAGAATTGAATGGTTATGTATAAACCTCTATTAGGAAATAATTCCATTTTCTGCAACCGCAGTATTACCGGTTTGGACGGCGTTTTCAGGATCAAGGTGATACGACAGACTTGGAACGTAAGCGCACTTTCATGTAAAAGCAGAGTGAGTGAATCGCCGCTTAACCAGGCATGTCGTTTTTCTGGAGTACTGCCTTACGGAGAGTACTACACGGACTGCAAAAGAGTTTACTGATGGCGTTACGTGATTCAATGGAAGAGGATGTTTGTCACCTTGCTTCAATTGGCTCTGCACAGTTTAATTACGAAACTTTTCGCACCTGTACTTCGGTCCGGGAACGGACGACGTTCCGTTTGCGGAAGCTCTCCTCTCCGGAAGCTATTTTTCCATAATTTCAGCACTTCTGTAAAATGGTTTTAGTCCTCGGCAACTGCAGTGCAAGGTTACAGGACTATCTGCTGGGGACAGCCCGTCAGTGCGCACTTCCGCTGCTCCTGCTCTATAGTGGAGTAGCAAGCACATCCTGAACGTTGAAACCTCCCCTGGAATAGCGCACGCCTCTCCTGCTACCGTTGCCCTATATTTGTTAGCCCTCCGAAACCAGGGCCCGACATTTGACTGTTTTCGCGCCACAATCTGTGGACATTCTGGACGTACTTTTATTATCCTTATCCTCTTTCTTAACACGGCGTACACTCTTCCAACACCGCTTGTTCGAACCACGGACGATGTTTTGCCGTAGAACGCTGCGTTACTACCCTGGACTGCCAGTCCGGAACTGCGACCCTGACCAGAGCTCCAGCTTGCTCGCCCCTACCGCCACACGTGAGACAGCGCCTATGGCAGCTGTACACCTTGCAACCCTTGATGACCCTTGCACTGTCGGAAGAGGAGAGCACGAGAACAGGAGCTCCCCGCGTGTGCCAGACGTCCAAGTCGTCGCGAACCTGTAAATAAACGATGACACGTCCCCAGATTGCCGCCTCGCGGCCATATGTCTGCCTTTACGCGACTCAGCAATATCCATAAGAGACAACAACTACACACTAAGACAGTACGGTGCCTCGCCTCTTTTCACATCCAAAGAAATTTCCTAACCCTGTGTGCTGTCGTGCGGTCAGCCGCACCTGGAGTCCGGCAAACGCCCCGGGCACATCCCCTGCCGGGGCTCTCTCTCTCAGGCGCCCCCACATCATTTTCCATCGCCCATCCAATTAAACACACACACACACTCGCACATACGCTCCTCACACATAGGGTTCATCTAAGTGGTCAACCATTTGCCTACCACTCGTGGGCATGGGGAAATAAGGAAGGATGGATGGATGGATGGTTAGGCGGCCGGCTTGGTCCTCATTGCCGCAGCACCTCGCAGGCGGTCCTAAGCCCCCACGGACCCACCACGGCTGCCCCGGCCGATATCGGTGGCCTCAAGCGGGGGGGCCCCCAAGGCCCAGCCAGCTGCAGCGACACCTCTCCTCTGTCCACAGCCCACCTAGACCCCCCTCCCCCCCCCGGGATGTCCACACCCGGCCGCAGGCGGGGCCAACCCGCCCACAACCGGGAAGAAGGCCTGTGGTCCTGGACCCTGGACATGCATGCCTCCCCCCCCCACGTGTGTTTCTTTCCAAACACACGTGACAGAAGGGAGGCTTCCAGGGGAAAAAAAAGAAAAAAAAGCTGAGGCAGGACTGATGCTGACCCGTCCCCCCGTCCTTCCCTTCCCTCATGTCCGCCCAGCTGGGCTCAGGGCCCCCTGGGCTGACCGACTGGCTGCCCGGCGGGTGGGTGGCTGGGTGGGTGGGTGGCTGGGTGGGTGGGTGGGTGGGTGGCTGGGTGCACACGACGGGCCCTAGGGAGGGAGGGAGGAGGACACAACTCGATTTACACGGTCCTGCCCGGGTCGTTAACTCGTGCAGTCGATTCCCCGACCCTTTACCAGCGCCATTACCTACTCCCCTCCTACTTCCCGTCCCCTGAGGCCTACTAAACTAAACGCGGCCCAGGGGTTCATATCGCTCCAGGGGAGCTCTGATCCCATCGGCCGCCGCCGCTGGCGCCGCCGCATCATCCACCTTCATATCCGCCGTACATTGCCTCGTAGCCCCCATAGCCTCCGCGTCCAGCAAGTGACTGCCACCACCGCCGGCGGGACGGCGGCGTTCAGCCGCCGGCGGCGGTGACGGCAGCGGCGGCCTTACTCTGTCGTCGTCGGCGGCGTCGGCACCTCCTCTCCCTTCCCCTCCTCCTCCGCAAGAGATCCCCCATCAGTGCCTTCAATGGCTGATGATACTTCGCTGTAGCCAACCGAATCATCGTATTGGGGTTCGAGGGTCTCGAAGGTTCCGGGCCGGGGCCCTATGACGGGTGCCTCCACGGTCCGGTAGTCGGCGGCTGCGTGGATCCGGCCGGTTGATGGTGGGTCCAACACGGCGGCCATGGTGGCGGCGGCTTGCGCTCCCGCCACAGCGCCTAGAAGGGGCAGGAGGAGGAGGAGGAGGAGGGCGAAAGGAGTCAAGATAGCTTTCAGTGTTTAAAGCATCAATCAAGGGGAAGGGAGGGCGGACGAAAGGGGACGAAGAAGCTTCACGGAGAGGAGAGAAAAGAGAGAAAGATTCGGATTCATCGGCGGGGAAGGTGGCAAACGAAGATGATAGGTGGTGTAACATTCATATTTTTTGCTATCTATTCTGCGGGAAAAGAGGGCGACAGAGCGCGGGCCTACGGCGTTTCGAAGAAGGCCGAACAATGCATCTCAAAACGCCTTTTCAAGAGCTGCATCCCTCAGCTGTTTCTCTCACCTGCGACGGCGCCCAGAGGCCCAACCACGCCCCCGGCAGTTGCGCCGACCACCGCGCCCGCAGCGCCCCATTTCATGGGGCCAGCGATGCCGTCCATAACCGCGTCCGCTCGATGCATGCTGGCTTTCCTTGAATTCTTGCGGATATCTGATCTTGCGCGTGGGAGTAAATTTTCTGAGGCGCGGATTTCAGTCTGCCCACCGCTTTTCCGTTACAAGACGAGGAAACTGTGAGGAGTGAAGGCTTCCCTTAAAAATGCGATATTCTTTCTAAATGAATTCCGTCTCGTCGTGTGGTTGTTTGTCAGATAAGAGATGTTTGGGCCCTGGTGACTTTCACGCCGTCAGGGATACCATGAGCACCGTAGATATCACATCAAAAGTATTGCAACAAATGAACATCTTTCCCGCTGCTAAACCTTGGCACTAGCGATAAACATGACACCCACATATAATAGAAGAGGAAAAAGCGATTTGTCCAAGGGATCTGACTAATACGCAAGCCCGACCACTTATCTTCCGGTGTCGACGCCGTACACCAATGGTGGACTGTGGGCAATCGTACCGTTGTCCAGTACCTGTCCCCCTTTTTAATATTTGCCAACCTAGATAACATACAATTTTGAGGACAGAGGAAAACTGGATAGCCTGGCATTCTGCACGTATTGTATATGGCTGTGTCTGTGTGTTTTAAAACTTGAGTTGCATTACCCATTGCAAAGGTTTAAGCCCTGAGGGGCCTCTAGGGACTGATCCCGCAATCTGGAACCACCCTGGGATGCGGCTCCAACACAGCGAAATGGGTCATGCCCGGAAATGGATCTTGTCATTAAACTGGCAGGAAATTCTCCCCCAAATCTCATCGCCGCAACCAACCATGGACAAACGTTTATGCTTAGGATTATTGCACGTTGCTAATAATAAAACAGAAAGCCTCAAAGCTATTTTGCAATCGGGGATGCTGATGTAAAAAGACTGTTGAGGAGGCGTACAACGGGGCCCCTCGCTACCACCGGAGCGGAGAGCTGGAGCACTTGTCGGTTGCGAAGGGCGTTTCTCATTTCTGTCTTATTATGATATTCTCTATCAACGTTGTAATGGCCCTGAAGCTCCAATCTTTTGACATGATGGAGTTCATGTCGTTGGTTTCCAGTTAAAGCCCAGCTGACGCTCTGGGGAGGCTTCGGCCACATCGCAACCGCCAAAATGGAGTCCTCATAAGTAACCGCATACATATAGACAGGCTGCAAAAGCCGAAAGGCCTTCAAGGCCCCATGGATAAAATGACGAAATGTTTCGTGGAAATCCATAGATCGCCATAAACAATAAAGCTTAACTCCATGAAGACCAAAGACCAAAGAAGAAAAAAACGAGTTGGCTGAAATCTAGACTAGGTTTTCCACCTCCATATCTAATTGGCATATAGGATTTCTACGAAAAAATCACTAAAGTTTAATAGCGCCCAGTACCATCCTTCTAGAGCTGTGTGTGCTCCAATTTGTGTAGCCTACTACAACACATGCACTGCCAGAGACCATTACCCGCCAGATGCACGAGAGGTAGAGAGGAGGTCCTCAGGCCGCCATCCCGTCCCCTCATCCTGTACGCGCCATCATCCTGCAGCTGTCAATACTGCCCGCCCTCAACACATCCAACCTACACCTCTCGATGGAAACCTCGTCCTCTAAAAATATTGTGCGGCCGTTTTTCCCAACGGAAAAAGCTAACCGACCGCCGTCTCAAAAATCTGCCCTAATACAAAAAGGCCTGTCCCTTGCAAAAATGAATAGCTCACCAGGAAATATAAACACAACAAAAAATATACAAGCCTCCCGCCCAAAGCTTAGCGTCCCTCTCCCCCCCCCGCACACACATACACCTGATTAACCGACCCCACCTCTTGAAAACCAAGGGGGCCGTCCGCCATCTCCCGTGCGTCCGTACAGCTGTACACTCGTACCATATCCATGCACTTGTCAAGGATTCTCAACTCTGACCTCATACCAAAGTACCCTTTCGCCGCCTTCCAAGTAAACAATAATGTCTTCTACTTGTCAGAGAGAGTGAGACACCCACTCAGACTCTGGCGATTTTGGGTTTGTCCCCTTCGTTGCGGCTTGACAAGGGCGGCCGTATCTTAGCGCGAAATGCCGCTGTTGGGCGCATGAAGCTAGGCAAGCTACTGCCGCCGCCAGACCCGCCGCCACCACTGCTACTGCCAATTTTAGAGGCGATGACGTCCCCCCTAGCCGCAGAGGTGGCGGCAGCCGAGCTTGCGGCAGTAGCTGCCGCGGCTGCCTCCGCCGCCAGCCGCGATATAAGGCGGGAGCGGGGCGTCGATCGCGGCGCCGTACATGCCGCCGCCGCCGCCGCCCGCTGCGACGCTCTACCCGGAGATGATGGATGCATCCAAGCGGGCTTGACAGGGCGGTTGGCGGCGGCGGCGCTGCCGTTGGCACTCACTGTACGGGAGACAGTGCTGCGTGAGGACGTGGGGTCCCTTGCCGGCGGCGCCGCCGCCACAGGCCCAACGGAGCCCTGCCTGGAGCCCCTCGCAGCGGAGCCCGCCGTCGCCGCGGCCGCCGCTTTCGCTGCGCTCGGTGGAAGGCGCGCCGCCGTACATGCCGCTGCATCCCCCTTGGGATGGCTACGGAGGATCCCTTGAGCGACCGTACGATCGTACGGCACACGAGCGATCCGCGCCGGAGGGTGTACAGCGCTTGCTGTAATCATGGCGGCGATGGCGGCGTCTCCTTTCGCTGCCGCTGCGGCGGTTGCCGCCGCGGCTAGGGCCCGGGGGGCAGCGGAGGCGCGATGCGGTGGCGGAAGCGGTGTCGCTGCCGCTACGGCGGCGGCATTCGACTGGAATGAGAATGGGGGGTTGACCCTGGAGTCGAAAGCCGCCGTTGCCGCCGTCGCCAAGGACTTGCCGTTGGACCTTGCCTCAAGGCTGGCGTCGAGAGATCCGTTCCTGCCAGGCTGAGCCGTGGACAGCGCTGACGGCGGCGGCCCCGGCAGCGTGCTCTCACTGCCTGCCGCTGCAGCGGCGGCGGCGGCGACGGCACCGCCCCGGCTGCCCCTGATGGATCCGATCCTGGTATTGTCGGGGCTGTGGACGCGCGAGGTCAGGGCCGTATGGCTGTTGTAAGGCTGTGAGACTGGCGATGCTGCGACAGCAGGTGGTGACCCACGGGTCACAAAGGTCGTACCGGCCGCCGCCACCGTCTTCGCCACTGCCGCCGCAGATTTCGGCGGCGTCGTCGGCTGTACTGGTCCGGCAGGGCTCGCGGGCGGAGCAGCGGCGGCTGCTACCGGCCCCGCCGCTCGCGCTGCTGCGCTCATCACACCCCCACTACTGCGACGGCTACTGCTACTGCTACTGATGCTGGCGACATGACCTGCGGCAGGGCCCCTTCCTTTAGCAGGTCCTGAGGCGCGTCTGGGATTTTGAGCGAGTGCTTGGATGGATGCGACGGCTGGTCTCGGAGCGGAGATCCTGGCTAGGGGTATGGGGAGGATGTGGTCAGCGGCGACGAGGACCTCCGACAGGTTCGCCGTCGGCGTCATCATAGCTGTAGCGGCGGCTGTAGCGGCTGGGGCGCCGCCGCGGTGAGTCCAGGCCCGATGACGGCTGGGCATGACGGGCGGGGTGGCGGCGGCGATGCCGTACGCGTGTAAAGGTAGACTGCCGCTGCCTCCGTCACTCTTGCGATGAAACACGGACCCGGCCGCATCGCCTTTGCCGTCACCAGCGGCGGCGGCGGCAGCGGCGGCGACGGCGCTGCCACCGAGGCTTATTCCCATGCCCGGGAGTTGGCCAGGGGTACAAGGAGTAAGGCAGTCAGGGCCTGCCCTGTACGAGTACGGCATCGTACATGGGCTGAGGTTGGGGTCTCGTGCCGCTGCCGAGTCGGCGGCGATAGCGGCGGCGGCAGCGGCCCAGGCAACCTCCGGCAGAGCGAACTGTTCGTACACCAGCGGCGGTGGCGGCGGCGTCAAGGACGATGGAGGCAAGGGGCTGCTGGCGCGGGAGTTGCTCAGGCTGGTCCGGAGCCGTGGCGTCGTACGGCTCTCAGATGTCGCCAGGGACGGCGGTGGCGGCAGAAACGGCGGAGTGGCGCCGCCGGGGACAGCGACGGAATTCCAAATGGTCACCGTCGACGCTGCCGCCGCCACTGAAGCCGCTGCACCACCTGAAAAGTCGGTGGCCAATTTTGGCCGCAGCGGCAGCGGTTCCCCCTGCTGCTGCTGCTGCTGCTGCCGCCATGGCCGTACAGGCGGCTCTGTGGTCGAACGCGGGTAGCTGTTACGGGCCAGACGGCTGCGGGTGTCGACGGCGGCGTCGGCGGCAGCGATGGCGGCGGCGCCACCGCATTCCGCGGACCCGCTAAGTTCAGTCTCCAATTCGACGTCAGTTGTGTCGCCGTACAGGCTGTTGGTGTGGAACGTCAGAGCGCCAGGCAGCTGGTGCGGCGGGGTTGCGTTGTACGGCAGCTCACGCGCCAGCATCTGGTACTGACGCTGTTGTCGTCCTTGTGATTGGTCTTGTGGGGGGGTCGGTCCTTCCACCTCCTGAAACGGACTTGTAAAGTCCCCGCTGCTGCTCCAATATGGTTGCCGTACATGTTGCTGTTGGTGCTGCTGCTGCTGCTGCTCCGCGTCTTCAATTTCCTGCTGTTGCTGCAGTGGCGATGGCGACGACAAAAGTAACGACGACGGCGGCTGTAGCTGCTGTAGCTGCTGCTGCTGCTGATGTACGGAAGGTGAGTTCAACTGATAACCATCACAGCCGAGCAGTAGCTGCTGCTGCTGCTGCACCTGCAGCTGTAACTGCACTTGCAACTGCTGCTGCAGCTGTTGCTGCTGCTGTTGTAGCAGTAGCAGCTGGCGCTGGGAACCGGCATTGAGATGCAACGCTGCGGCCGCCGCGGTTGTACGACGCCGTAGATTCGTCTGGAAACGATGCTTATGGCAGGATAAGAGGGGGTTCAGGTGCGGATGGTGCGAATAGTCCGAGTGTTGACCGCCCTCACTGTCACCCTCACTTGCGGAGCTCGAACCGCCGCTTGTGAATCGCCTCCCTCGGCCATGTCGGGAGGGCAGATGGCGGGGAGGAAGTTGGCGGCAGCTGATGCCCAAGGAGGGGAAGCGGCCGCGCTGCGGGACAAGTAGACCGACACAAACAAAGCAGAGCATGAAGGGCCGAAAACCGGCAACAAGATGAAAATACACAACATGTGCTTTAATGGTTCCCTCGGACTTTGTGAAATATTATCTTATGCAGGGGAACTGAGAGTGGCAACTTTTGCAAGTCGGCGAGAGTAATGTCAAATACACAATACTGAAATGAAACTATGAAGGTGATTGACGGCGGTGTCTGTACCCGGCACGAGTTCATGAAAAAACACATTAAAAACGCAACACGAACACGCAAACACGTGAACATGCTCCCCACTTCCCCAGGAGGAAAACCTACCTGGTCGCCGCCTGGTACGGCAGTCTGTCGTTCCTGGGGGCCGGCAGTAACAGCTGCAGTAGCAGTAGCAGCAGTAGCAGCTACAGCAGCAGCAGCTGCAGTAGTAGCAGGTGATGGTGCGGAATTGACAATCGCGACCCGTGCAACTGGCGGAATGCTGGCTGTTTGAGCTGGGGCCATGTGCGCACGGCCGTAGCCGGGCGGTTGCTGCGGATACGGCTGAGGCTGATGAGGAGGAGGATGCGGCGGCAGGTGGGGCGAATGGCAGTAGTAGTACGGCCTCGGGTTGGTGTGCTGCGAGGAAAGTTCCTGGTCAAGCACTACCGTCAGTGGTGTTTGCAGTGATGGTGATGGACATGGCGGCTGTAGCGACTGAGCGCCTGGGTGTGGCGACGGCTGTAGCGGCAGCTCTGGCAGTTGCTGGGGCGACGTCAGCGGCTCCAGCTCTTGCCGGTGCTGTTGCTGTACAAGGGTAGGTGAAGTCTGCGGCCGCGGTGGTAGCTCGACTGCCGCCGGCGCCGGCGCCGGCGCCGGTGAAGAAGAAGAAGAAGAAGAAGAAGAAGAAGAAGAAGAAGAGTTGGCAGTTTGGGGCCCAGGCTCCATTCGCTCTGCGGGCAGTGGAGAAGGCGGCGCCTGTACCGCCTGCTCATGCGCCAGCACCGAGCCCGGCGACACGGACTGGGGTCCTGCCTCCGTCAGCCTCGGTGGGGCTGCTCCATCGCTGAGGTTCGGTTGTGCTGCTGGCGACGGGGGCCCGCTGCCGTCCTGCCCCTGCCCCTCTCCGCAGAGCTGGGCGCACGGGTGGTGGCTGCAGAGCGCGGCGAGGGTGGCCTACGCGAGAGCGGAAGAAAAAAAGAGGTGACTTGTGACAAAAAAGATGATAACAAGGCATGGAGGAGCACGTCCTTCAACGCAGGCGCTCCTATAGGATCCAATGGTTTAAGTCCCCGCAAAAGCAAACTCAGGAGCAGCAGCAGCAGCAGCAGCAGCAACGCGATGTTGCTGCTCCTGTTCGCTATGTCCTACGGATCCGGGCTCCACAACTGGATTGGTGTTGGCGGTTGGAAGCTGCCATATTGATGCTGCGAAAGATTGCTAGTCTGTGCCAAGGAAGCTGGGTTGGGCATGGAGGTGTGGCTGGGAGGTGAGGTTGGGCATGGAGGTGTGGCTGGGACTCGAGCTGGGATTGAAGTTCTTGTGGAGGTTGCGACTTTAAACCATCGGATACTAGGAGCGCATGCGTTTAAGGTCGAGCGCGGTCGAAGTGTATTAATAAAAGGGACAAGGAAAATGTATAAATACTAGTTGGCTTTATTTCCCCATAACATGGCCAACAGCCCGTCCGGCTGTTCCAGCCCTGTTGTGTCGACACCGCTCCTACCTGCGTGGGCGTTTCAGAGACGCTCTGCGATGAGTTCCGGCCAACAGCATCATGAAGTTCTCTGCAAATGGCGAAATAAGTTGTAAATATCATAAAGGCATAGAACTCTTTCCAGGTTTCAATGAGCTGAACTTTACCGCAACAGAATGTGACATCGACGGTACTGGTAATAGTAACAAGCTGCTCCTCCTAATGCCCCAGCTGTTACAGCAGCAGCAACAGCAGCCGTCTCCCAGTTGACCGAACTCTTACGAGGCGACATATTGGTCGCCGGCTGTATACCATGCTAAATTCGTCACGGAAATCTGCACCTACAGCTTGATAAGGCGAACGAGCGAAAGAAGAATCATTTAATAGGCGACAGCTCTGGATTTAGGCTTAATGTATATGCATATTCTTGCCAACGAAAATGTCTGTGCTTCGTCACGGCAGTCAGTTGCGCAACGAAATTCCAAAACTGCTAGGCAACGGTAGTTGTCCCTAAATCAACAGAGAAACTGGACGCAACAGCGGTCCTTAGACCACCGGGATGAAAACTTAGCCCGTTACAGATGGGATTGCCATCAAGTGCAACAGTAGTGGATAAGCGTTTGCGGACACATGTTTGTAGACTGAAAGATATTGGCGCATACCTGATTCACATGAAACAAATGCAGTCCGGGAGTACTAAGCACATGCCATACAATTATTAGACACTCCTCGGAACATCGCCATCCCTGCCTCCGCAACGGTCGCAAGCCAATACTGCACCTTCACCCTGCAGATGCGCCCTCTCACTGCCAAGGAAGGAAGTGCTACATAGCCTCAAGCTAGAGTCCTACCCAAGGCACTTTTTTCAAACCTTCGCAGTCACTCTCCGCTCTCGCCCGCAAATACATCTTGAACGAACATCATCACAGCGCACATACTAGCTTAAACGAGGCCTCAAAACAACTGTCACTTGCAAAGTTAAGAAGAGGAGCAGTTTTTGTAATTTTCCGAAAAACATTTTCCAGTCGCACTGCATTTGTATTCGAGAACCGCTCACTCTACACCTACTTTCCTGCTGGACCCAGACCAAATCAAGTCGGATAAGCCATCAAGCATTCAAGCACATGAAGCTCCAACAACGCTTCCCGCCAAGAAAGGCCATCCTTACGCGCCCTCAGTCCCTCTCACTGTTTGAAACCTCGGAGGAGTCTCAAACCCCTACCTCTTCTCCTCCTCGATCCATCATGCAGCCTGGCATTAACACACTAAACACATGACGACACCCTATCGGTGTGGTAGCAACAACCCTCCCATACCTACATCATCTTTGGCGCGCACCCACCCTGGTGGGTGCCGTACCGTAACCCACTCAGAACGGTGAAGGTTCGCTACAAACCGTGTGGAACATACATACATACCTACATACATAGATACATACACGCACACACAAATACACGACACCATGTGAAACAAACACGTGTCCGCACCCTCTGCTGCACATACACACACACACACACACACACGTGGCCATAGGATGCCTCAGTACACAACACCCCTCCCCATTATTAACCCCCCATTCCGTACACGCAGCGACGCCTCTGATGGCGACGACAACACCGCCTCCGGGTACACTCTGTTGTACACGACGTCGACGTCGCTGTCGCCGTCAAGAAGCAGCTCTGCCGGCCGGCTTGCAGGCAACAATGCCGTGCCTGTCGTACACGCTGCCGCTGCCGCTAAACCCGCGAACGCCCCCCCCAACCTTCCCGCCGCCGCATCAACTCCCCCTCCCATCGAACCTCCGGGATTCGCAGCGACCGAAACCGACGAAGTAGTTGGCAGTAGTAACTTTCCGGAGCTACCGGAGGCGACAGATACAAGGCCGCCGCCGTCGCTGCCACCGCCGCGAGAAACTGCGGCGGCGGCGGCGGCGGCGGCGGCAGATCCACCACCACGACCAGCACTGCCGCTGTCGCCGCCATCCAGCTCGTCAAGCAACAACTCCACAGGCGGCTGCATCGAAGCCGGCAGTGATGGCGCCGGCGTCAGCGGCGGCAGGTGTACGACAGTCCCCAGCGGCAACTCCAGTAGCCGGCCGCCGACGCGGGTGGGCTGTTGTTGGTCGTGTGTGACCCATACTAACGCCGCGCCGCAGCTAGACAGCACGCGCTCTACCCTGTGACGGTTGGGACCGTTGAGTCTGTTAGGACAGTTAGGACAGTTATCCAATCGTGTCATCAGCACGAAAAGAGGGGTGGGGATTTCGGCGTGGTGGGGTTGTTGGGGTGGGTGGGTGGGAGCGAAGCAACAACACACGGTAGTTCAATTTGGCTTGACTTCATTTGGCTGGTTTAGTGCATTGTGCCGTACACAATGGTTCACGTGGAACCCTGCAGGGGCCTCGGTAGAGGATGCGAATCCGGCAGAGCTCCCTACACTCCCTCGCCCTGTTCCCCGGCTGCCGTACCCCGCAATACACACACGCGCACACAGACACCTGAGGGTTGCCAAGGGGTCGCACGCGCTGGTGGGCTCATCCAGCAGTAGCACCCGAGCCCCCAGAGCCAGGGACACAGCCAGGGTGACCCGCTGCGCCTGGCCGCCCTGAAAGAGGGGAGCGGGGGGAGGGGCAGGAGGGGGAAGGTGGTACGCGCATGCGTGTGTGTGTTTTGGTGGTGGAGGGGTTCACATGTGCGTGTGTGTATTATAGGTGGTCTACCCTAGCTGGGAGTGCCATGGGGGGAGAGTGGGGTTATGCGCGGTGGGGTTTCGGGGGTAAGGGAAAAGAGGGCCGGAGGGCGGCTTGGGGGCTCAGACGTAAGACGATCAAAGGGGTAATACTTGGACATGCAAACAGACAGACAAGGCAGACAGACAGACAGACAAGGCATGCCCCGGGCCAGGCACAGCATTTTCCACTCCTCCTCCTTCTCCTCCTCCCCCCTTTCCTCACCGACAGCTCCCCCCACTGCTGGTTAAGCACCGACTGCTCCAAACCCAGAGAGTGGATCAGGGCGGGCAGATCGCCCCGTGGCCGACCGCGCTGGGATCCAAATCGCTGGGCGCGGAAGTACAGCTCAGCAGGGGTGCCGCGCAGGCTACTGGCACGTGACTGGGGCACGTACGATACTGCCGTACGCCAGGCGGGATAGCCGACTTGCGCAGGCGGGCAGCCATTAAGTAACAGCGTGCCGCCCTGAGGTTGCGTGAAAGAGGACGAATGAGGAATATAGAAAAAGAGAGGGGGGTGAACTGTATGCTGCAAGCTACATTTACTGGAGGAAGATGGGAGAGTGGGAGCGGTGTGATGAGGGGGAAATGGGTCCTCGGGGAAAGGTTATAAGGTGTGATGGTGAGGTAGGGGAAGGATACTAGGGTTCCTTGCAGGGGGGCTTTTTATCACGAGCATGCTATTCCAGTATTGGTAATGTGGATTTACCAGGGCGCAGGTATAAGTTTAGATGTTATGTGTGGGCCAGGGACTTGATTGAGGGTTAACTACGAATAAGGCGAGTAGCATAGTATGCGTGTCGGGAGAGTGTTTGAGATAGTACCTGAGGTTGATCCAGACACGCCAGCGCGCGGAGCAAAAGGGATTTGCCAACTCCACTGGGTCCGCGGACGAAAAGGATTTCACCTGGCTCTAACACGAAGGAGATGTTGGACAGGATGTTCCTCTCGGCCACATCGCGCCGAAGATTGCGCACTTCCAGCAGTGGTGCCATAGCTGCAGCGTAAGCTTGCCAAGATCAAATACATATTCAGTTATGAACTGGGCTTACGACACGCTGTTTCCCTAGTAGTCGTATCGTGTCGGCGACAGCCAAAGGTCTGTCAGCTCTTTCACCACGGCGTTCTCAGCGCTAATAATGAGAAGCTCAATGTCATGTAAGGTCAAACTAAGGGATAGGAATAAGCCAATCCCATTCTATCTTAACGCTTTCCTTCTTCCCACGTGGAACAAATGAACGCCGTACACACTGTACGCTGTTGGACTCGTGGCCTTAAGTTCATGCCAACGCAAAAAAGGTATTTGGTCTCATTATGCACTGGAGCATAACAAACTTGGCAAATAAAACCATCTGAACCTGCCTTCCCTGCAATGAGATCTCCTACAGAAACTCAGTCTGTATATATGCTGTAAGCACTCGAGACATAACGGGTCGCGATATAATGATTTACACGATGGTGATGCTAGTTTTTACAGGGCTTGATGCAGGATTCCTTGTTTCCCTGGGCCCAATTAATTAGAAATTGCTATTATAATGGGCGGGTGCACGGCTGCAGCGGTAGTGTCAGGCCGCAACCATGCTGACAAGTCGGATGCGCAAGCGCACCATTGACAAGCCCCCGAGAAATATTCAAGTTAATCGCAGGTCCTCAATGAGGACCATATTAGCGATTAAGCTAATAAGAACAGATACTACACATGATCTGAGCCAAAAGGCCGAGAAAGGTATGATTTACCACGGAATAGGAACCTTAAGGGTACTGCAGGGGGTACGCTTTCTACAAGGCTTGCACTCGATGGTGGGTCGTGAAATTGAGCCACCAGTCCTTCCAACACTTTGTTCCAACACTTTATGGGTCAAGCAGGAGCTCACAAAAAGGCACGTTAAGCTTTATAATGCCCACGACTGCTGCTTTCGTTCTTCCGTCCAATGTGAAAAGCCTTGATGGCGTCATGGCCATTTTCAGCACCCTGCTTGCTTGCACTGCAGTCAAGTCAACTAGATAAATTTTTTGGGGGTAGAATGCTGTGTAGAGTGCTGGAATCCGCGCCATAGGTGGGTAATGCCAGAAACAGCACCGCAACACGAGGTTGCGTGTCAAACTGCGTTACACAAGCTTACACCGCACAAAAGAAACTGTAGTGGGCCGCGAGGTAGGTACCCTCGACTGTGCGACAAGGGTTTCCGGCCGCTGCTGAACGACGACCTCCTCCCGTCCATTTTTATGGGGAATAGGTATCCGTTTCGGTTCGTATGACGGTCCGTCGTACGAGCACGCTGTTCAGGAGCCAAAAACTACTAATACCGAGTTTCTCTACAACTCCACAGGCAAGGCAACTGCGCCAACACACGCAAAACGTTTCCTATGCACGACATGAATTAACATTCCGTACTGTATTCCTCGTACAACTATTACCCGTACAACCGTACAACTCAACCCGAACAACACGCGGAAAGGCTCCTCAACCTAAGTACACGCCAGGATGATATCCCTATTTGCCTGACATGCCTAATAGATCAAATGTAGAAAACACGTGAGCCGCATACGTGCATTTTGTCAACCTAATGTACAACAGCCTCGACCATAGTAATAATAATAATGTACAACAGCGCATGCCGCATGGCGCATAGCGTATACAACAAACAGCATGAAGCAACCTCGCGGGGGCCAAAAATACAAATGATGATGAAAATGCAAAATCCGTACGACCTAATCGTCCACAATACACAAAGCCGACACGGAAGGGTATAACCGCGGCGTGGGGCGCAGCTCTAGATTTGCAGGAGCCGCCAAAATGCATTTTAAAAACATCTTTTGTGTGTAATAAGCATATACACATGCACACATCACGCACACGCGTCCGCAACCCGTGCAGACAAACATACAGAGACACGCACAAAGCGTCCTGAAATACTGTGGTTCCCCCTTCCCCCCCCCCCCTCAATGAAGTCCCATCTCAGATCTCAGCGCGGTGTCACCCATCACCCATTTTTAGTGTGAGGAGACACTTTTTCCTGTCGGTCTATGCCGTACATACCGGCCCTGTTCACCCGGCTGCAACCCCTCACCCTGTCACTTGCAGTACGACAGTCACGTCGTACCCGGCGTCACATCTTTCTCGCCATTGTTCCGTACTACACTTTTTTGCAGCTCTCAAACTAGCCCGAGCCTACCTGCCTGCCCCGACTTCCCCCGCCTTCAGCCCTTCGCTCGCCCTATACAACATCAGCTGCCGCCCTCACTCCGAAAATCCTCTCACTTCTCCAAATGCTGCTTTCCGTCTCTCTCTCTCTCCCTCTCTCTCTCTCTCTCTCAACCACGAACACCTATTTCACGCCATCCTCTCAACAGATCGTATGATGTCACGGACACTTTTGCCAAAAACTTCCCTCCACTTACAGATGTACGGCACCCGCCGCTGCCTCAGGCCCTGGTACGGTGGGCAGCGCGGGACCAAAGCGGCCAGCCGCCGGCACCCACGTGGCTGGGAAGTTGGGGTCGTACGGCAGCCCCGAAACCATGTCGGCCAGGACGCGGCCGCAGGTGAAGGTACGAGTCATGCCGTGGCCACTGAAACCAGCCGCCACGAACTGTACATACATACGTACATACGTACATACACACGGACGCGCACGGGGAGGGCGAGGCAGGTCGGCGGTGGGGGCGCAGCGCAATTGTAGCTGCGTAATGGTAAGGATGCAGTGATACTGGCATACGGCCACACATGACCACATACGTCTTCACATATGAAGACACACACACACACACACACACACACACACACACACACGCGTGTGTGTGTTTGTGTGTCTGTGGTGATTTGGTAGGCGTACCATAATGTAGTTCCTAGGAATGTGTTTCTACCTGAACGGCGATTTTTCCTTTCTCGCGTGCAGGCGTTTCACACTCGCTGGCGTGCCCAGACACCCCCTGCCGCACTGTCTGCGATACACACACATACACACACATACACACAGATACACACAGATACACACAGATACACACACATACACACACATACACACACATACACATCCCTTCTGCCTCTCCTCCCTCCCCAACCCCCGATGCGTTTTGTCCTTCGTGAATGCCATTGGAGTCAAACATACCACCAACTCCCCTCTCCCCTCCCCCTAAAACCGCCGCCGTACTTTCCCCCCTTCCCGGACGCACCTGTCCTGGAGAACCCGGCACAGGGCCCACGAAGGGAAAACGGTCCCGAGTAAAACCCAAAATACCGCTCCACTCCGCGTCGACGTCCAGTCCATTGCCGTACACTGCCGGAAATCGTTCCGGCAAGTACGATAGCAGGTGCTCCTGCACACGCTCGTTGAGCAATGCGTCATCGTACACTCCCCACTCGAGGTCGGGTACGACATCACGGAATCCGCCAACCACCACGCGCCCGTCCTCGCGACACGACCAGTACACATAACCACCCCGCGCAAAGAAGGCCGCGTCCAGGGGGAAAGAGCCGCCCTTGCCGTTACCGTTGCTGGCGGTGGGTGCCTTAGTGGCGGCCACGTGGTTCCGTACAGGTACGAGTGCTCCCCTTAGCTCGGGTAGCAGGGAGGAGCCGTACGCATTCGTACAGTGGACCACTCGGCGAGCTAGGATGGATTCACCAGCTTCTGTCGTAACCTGTCACCGGCACCGGGAAGAGTGAGGGGGGGCGGTGGCGTAAGGAGGTGACGGGAAACTACTGCCAAAAACTACTGCCAAAAACTACGGCCAAAAAAGTTTAAAATACTGTTTCAAATCAATCCAGAACGAGTCAACATCTTTAAAATGAGATCATTTATTCTCCGCCGTGCCAGATACAGAGCTACATACAGGCACATCTAGACGACTGGATTGCTGCACCAGGCTGCACAGGCTCTGAAAGGTGCCGAGCTCCTACCCTCTCCTGCCCTCTCCCATAACCCCCCACCCAATTCCCCTCCAAGGCCCAGTCCGCGCGTACACACCTATTTACAGAATCGGGAAAAGGCCCATCCAGACCCATCCTGCAGGTTCCCTCCACAGGCGCCCCCCCTGGAGCCCATCCCCCGCTGGAGCGTCAACCTCCATTTCCCCCCTCCCCGACCCCCCCCCGCCCCTCCCCAGCCCCCCCAGGTTCCCCACCACACACCCTCACCTCCAGCAGGGGAGTTGAAGCGGCATCCAGGGTCTCTGACAAAGAGCCCTTCACAACAGCAGCAACAGCAACAAGGACAAACGCAACAGCAGCTGTCACAGCATTGCAACAGTAAAGCTGCAGCAGCAGTAGTAGCAGCACCACTATCAGCATCACCTCTAGAGCGGTTTGTTCCGGCCGTCCATATACCTACCGTCCATATACCTACCGTCCACCCCACTATCCAGGTCCTCTACACAACCACAACCTTCCCTCGATGCCCTAAAACCCCCAAGCCCTCCCCCCCAACGCCAACACTCACTGCATGTGCCGTCGCTCTTGCCATGGACAAGATATTGTTGGCAGCCGTCTTATTAAAGTCCGTAGCTCCCTCCTCATCGCCCAGCTTCCGACCTACTCCTAGATCCACGCCGGGTGACAATGTCGTACTGCACGGCAGTGACGTCACCGCCGCCACACGCGTGTTCTCCGAAACCACAAGTCCCTCCGCCGGACCCGCTTCTAGAGCCATACGGGCCAGCGCGTGTACCAGTCGTGCAGCCCATACGCGAGCTACACCGGGCTGCAGTACGGCACCGGTGTACGAGTCCGTACCGAGCAGTGATGAAGTCTCCCTCTGCGAGAGCGGCTTCACCTCCGTATGGATGCCAAACTGGTGGTGGTGTGGATTTGGGGTTGGGCGGCCGGCGGGCGGCGGTGTTGTGGGGTCATAATTGAATTTGGCTTCTTTCTGTAAAGGATTTAAAGTTGACACCAGACAGACAGACAGACAGACAGACAAACAGACACAGACAGACAGACAGACAGACAAACAGACACACAGACAGACAGACAGACAGACAGACAGACAGACAGACAGACAGACACAAGCATGCTGGTCCAATGCCCTCTTAGTGGCCCAGGACCACCTGCTGCTTCAGAGGGAGCATCAGCATCAGCAACGCTCTCGCCCTTGTAGCGCGTTCTACATAACCTAGGCTCTTTACAACATCTTTACAAGGCTTCTAACATTTCTTGACAGGAACGAAGTGGCCCAGGAAACTGATTAACGGCAATCAAACCCAAGACACCATTTTCCGTACCGCACCCGTACCTTTTGCATGATGGATAGCTCTGCAAGCTCAGCCTCCATCTCCTCCTTGCTCTCGTACACATAATAGCCGCCATCTGTAAAGGGCCCGTAGCGCACCTCCTCCTCCAGACCGTGCTCCTTTATGAACTGGGTCACCTCAGAGAGGCATTGAAGTTCAAAAGCCATCATGCGGCTCGTCTCGGTGGTGCCGTACCGTCCGGCGGTTTTCACCCAGGGCGCGTTAAGCCTGGGGTGAGGGAAAAGAATATCATCAAGGCCGGCAGGCAGGTAGGTAGGCAGGTAGGTAGGCAGGGAACCAGACAGGCGATGCCAGGCAGGCAGGTAGGCCGCCGGGCAGCCAAGGCAGCTGTCGTCATCACTGAGTATTATCGATCCCAGTGGCGCTCCAAAGGCATTTCCGATGCCTCCGAAAGCTCAGAAATGGTCGCAGAGGCGGCGTTTTCGTGTCCTGGCATCCTGGCCGGTCCGGGCCATGTTTCTAACGCCACGCATCCGTTCCCTTTCGCTTTTTTCAAACCCTTCTTGAAACCTCCGCCGCATCTAAGCCCTGAGAACCTCCGGATGTACGGCGCTAGGTGTATCGGTGGGTCCAGGTGCATTCTGCCTGGGCCTAGGCGTGTTGCTGGGACGCATGCACTGATACTGCTCCCGTCCTTTTTTCCATGTCACAAGTTACAAGTTCCGCACTCAAGTGCGGGTGTGTCCGTAAAAGCCGGACGTTATATTAGTATATTGATGCGGGTACGCGGGAGGCCAAGATTTCTCATCCTCCCTCGTTCGCTTCAGGGCGAAGCGCCTCAGCGCGACGTGCCTGGCCTCCCAGATTTCCGAGAGGTACCTGGCCAATGCCAGAGGTGGCGCCTCAGTCATAATGGTGCGCATGCTGCGTCCCTTAAAATTGAAGTCAGCATCATACTTAGCCCGTATATTTTATGTCTTCATTTCACTCCGGGAATTGCCATCATTCGCAAGTACTACTCACGCAGGCCATAGGAGACCGCCGTTGCGGCCGGTCGCACCGTGGCTGATCTGGCGCGCCTCCAGCAATACCACCTGCAGCATACAGCAGCAGCATCGGCATCATCGGCAGCAGCAGGGCATCCCGTAAAGGCAATCATAACGAGCAGGAAATGGAGTAAAACCAGTCATCTACTTAATCTTTGCAATACAGGCTTATGACTCGTGCAAGGAAAGGACGGGAAACTAACAAGTAGGAATTGCGAACTTAACCCTAATCAACTGAAACCGTGCAGGCAGTTACAGGATAGAAAATATATGTTGTTACCAAACAAGCTGATTCTAATCAAGTGCTTTCTGTTACCATTGGACTGGGTGGTCGCTGAGGGCTACTAGTACCGAGAAGCATGACAGGTCGCAGGCCCGCTGCAGCTTAACGTTTTTATGTGTGGATATACCCACCTGAAGGTCCGGCCGGCTTTTTCGTAGGTGATAGGCTGTGCTTACACCCGAGATGCCACCGCCAATAATGACAACATCGGCAGCGGGGGGCAGCGATGGCCGCGAACGGCCGTTGGAAGAAGGTGCCGGGCGAGGTGTAATAGGTTTAGTTGCGTCCGGAAACGCCTTAATCCAGTAAGAGAGCGTTGGCTTGGAGACTGGCGTTGGCACGACCACTCGCGACATGACGGTTCGTCCGGCAAGGATGGAAGAATATGGAACTGCTGCTTGGGCTAACCCTTGTGGAGGTGCAACATTTAACAGGTGGAAGATACTTATGTCAGAAACCTGCATATAGCTACGGTAAAGAGTTCCATATGTGGCGCAAGGTCACGGTGACGTGTTGACGAGGTTTGCGAAGGCAACAAACAAGACATAAAACGTAACTAGAAAAAGAAACTCTATCTAATTATAAGCCATAAGATACCTCTATTTTGAAATTCCATCCCTAGGTTCGTCTAAAGCACAAACCCCAAGGACATGAACATGGGCGAACCTGTTGCACTCCCTTTCGCAAAGGTGCAGTCGGCAAAGCAGTCTTCAACCAGTAGGACAATGTATTGCTTGTGAAACAATACTCTGAAATTCCTGCTGGAGCTAGCGGCGAGGTTTCAATGACTCCTTTAGAACAAGGGCTTTGGGAGAAGGATAGCGCCAGCAGTGCTCCGCAGTAAGATACGGTAAATAATAATATGACAGACCTAAATTCTTGAAATGCGTGTTTTGTTGCGGCCTTTTGTCTAATCTTTATGCCAAATCCCTCGTGTCGTCCAAGCGGTTTGAAGCTCCGAAGCCACTAGCCCGCAACAAAACGGCAACCCAGGAAAGGCAGACATATACACGGACTCCTTCGTTGCAAATAGCATAACATGTGTATATTGAGGGTCGCTTGTAATCTGCTTGACTGATCCTACTTGGTTTTCCTCCCTGTTTGCCTCGTAGACGGCCCGGCCATAGGTTGGTCCTTATTACTCAATCATTGATGCATATTAAACGTAAATAGTTTTGCGCAATCTTGATAGCCTTGAGGGGGTGCCATAATCATTGGCCGTGGTTTCTTGGACGCGAGTTCTTGCTGGTCGACTCGGCTTCCGCTGCACAATTACATTACAAACACTGTAACAGGTAACATGAAAATTCCGCAAGTCCGTCGTTTAGCCAAAGTTTACAAACTGTGGCAATGCTGTGGGCAAGGCTGTTTTACGTTTTCGGTTTGTTCGGTTCCCTTCGCTCCTACGCGGGAACTTTTGCGCGGAAGGCAAATCGGAACCACATAACACAAACGCAATTTGCAGGCTCTGCAAGCGTCCGCCAGCGCCCGCCTGCCTGCTTTTTGCAATACCTTTTTTTATGTTATTCTTTTTATTCTTGCAAGCAAAAAAACACTAAGCAAGCGATCCAAGCCGCGAATGCAGTTATACGCCGTCACTAGCCGTACAGCATCTGCTGAAATAATGCTTGACATGCCATTGCTGACACTGCACACGCCAGCCTCCCTAGCCACCAGGAACAGTTGATCCGCCCACCTGTGGACCCACATCGACCTCGGGGCTGGTCCGATCAGACAGTCCTGGCTTCTGCAACCCCTGGAGAAGTTTGTGTGGTGGTTACAGTGGGATCCAGCAGATTCGCGAAGAGGTGGTGATCGTTGCTATCGTGGTAACTTCGTGTCAGGCAGTGTGTGTGTCCTCGCGCCATTTTCATTTTCGTCATATGACAAGCTTAGCGCCTCTAGACACTTCCGAGAGCCTCCCGAGTGCAGGCGATGGAGGAGTGCACGACTTTGGGATTGGGAGGGCTGCGGTTCCACAGAAAGACAGCCTCTGCAGCTGCGGCTGCCGCCCGCGGATGGGTCAACCATCATTAGCCTATTGAATGCGGTCAGGCTTGGCTCAGGTAATTACTAGGACCGAAACCGATATCTTATGGGTTAACTTGCCGGAGCCGCAATCGCCGCTCGGCGCGCAGGTAAAAGGAGCCAGCCGAAACCCGCCGCATCAGCGCACACATCACCATGCACACCTTTTCCCACCCATACTATACGCCCTCCCACAGCCTGAAAACGAGCCGACCCGAGCGTAACCGCCAACACGATTTAGTCCGCGGCAACTGTAGCAACTGTCTAGGCTCATGGCCCCGGGACCAGTAGCCGCCAGTCAGTCAGTCAGTCAGTTAGTCATCAGTCAAGGGGGGATGCAACGGCCCTCGGAGATTGAGATGCCTATGGCGAGAGGCGACCGTGTTTCACCTGCTGGTGAAGCCACAGCCCGACTGCTGCCTCCTGCGTCGGGAGCCTTGTTGTTGCGGTGTTCTCGAGTACACACGTACCGGCCCCCTTACCGCGCCTCGCCTTCCCGTATCTCTCTCCCCTTTTTTAGCCATCCAAGTCCCGGACCAGGCCCACCACCGTACTCGCCACGATGGCCCCACCTGGCTCGCTGGTTCCATCAGCCCGAGAGAGGGCCGCTGTAAGAGTGAGAGAAAGAGAGAGCGAGAGTGAGAGTGAGAGAGAAAGAAGTACCGAGTCCGAGTCCCCTACGTTGTCCACCGCCACGAACCGAGAGAGCGATGACCGATGAGGGGTCAAGCCCGCGCCACAACCACCACCACAACCACCACGGCAACCTGCCCTCCTCTTCATAGCCGGTTTTAATATGCATCTAGGCATGAACGCCCTCACCACAGTTGTTTCACTTCGCCACCCAGCTAGTGGCTAGGAACCTGGCCGCGTGCCAAGGAAAAGAGAGAGAAAGCGCCCGTTCAACCTACACGACGACTCGACAAGACGGCCCGGCAATATTGTGGACCACGGACTGTCATGCCACGGGGGGCGCTACACTTGCTGTTTTCCCCGCCGGCCACGGCCTCTCCCCGCCACCTGAAAGGTCCAACCAATCGCCAGTCTCCTTGTCGCGCCCGTCAGCTCTTGAGCATATGTCCAGTTCAAGAGCCGTTGCCAGGCTAGGCCGGTGGCCGAAGGAAGGGAAGAGGACATCGCAGCGGACCGCGGCCCTGTGAGCGTGGCAGTGTATTGGTAGTGGTGGGGATGGTGGATTGGGGATGGGGGGGGGGAGTGCAGCGGGACAGCGTTTCTCGGGGCCTGCGGCCAGGTTGCCGCCGACGGCGTGCTGTGAATTTTCTTTTGCCTGCACGCCTTATCCCGACTCGGACCTGATAAACCCAACCCAAAACCGTAAAAACATCTTTTACACTCTTTCATACTTTTTTTAATAAATACGAACAAAAACACACAAGACACACACAGAGGAGGGAGGCATACACAGCAAAACATGCGCACTCTACCCACACTCTACCCCCTCACACCAAACACCCAGAGATAAATGCAATGCAGCGAAGGTGGGCAGCAGCCCGCTACAACAAAACCCCCTCCGCTTCACACAACCCTAGTAGAAAAAACCCCAACTGTCTGCTTCATCCTTCATTTACTTGCCTGAAGCCTCCTAGCGGCGAATCGCGCTAGTACATGTTTATGTGTGTGCGTGTGTGTGCGTGTGTGGCCACCCACCCACCCACCCACCCGCACGCCCGTCCGTCCGTCCGTAGGTAATGCGAGGAGGAGAGACACGCGGCAATCATAGCAGCAGCCCCAATGATGGTCCCATAGTAGACTGCAGTGCCATACGCGAGCATTACCTAAATACATGCAACGCACCCATTCCTGACCTCCACTGCGCACGGAGCACTCATATCTCAATCCTCATGATGATGACCTGACCTCGAAATGCGGCAACGGCCGACATCGCCTCGTTGCTGCGCGCCCCCGTGAGCCCCTTTCCTGACCCCGCTGCTGCGCACGCTTGGTTGGTTGCTTGGGGGTTAGTTTGGCTGGCACTGGGGGCCGCCTGGACGGCTGCGGCGGCAGCGGCAGCGGCAGAGCAGTAACAGCCTTCCACCAACCGCATGTATGCGAGACTCCGAACCACGTTCTTTTCCTCTCCACGCCTTAAGCCACACAGACACACCCAGACACCGTTATGACACCAGTGTGGAAAAAAGAAGACGTTGATCCGAACGCGTGCAGTAGTCGGGAGCTGGCCGCTGGACGCTTCGCCACCTCCCCCCAAACCCAATGCCAAGGCTCTCTATGCGCAGAGTGCAGCACCGACCCCTGTCCCTGAACTCCTTTTACTTCAACAGCTCCGCTTCTGAAACATCCTGCAACGCCACCACTTAAAAGGACTCTGTGTGCAATTATTTGTTTGCTGTATCCTCCTCATTTCTACACATATGGAAACCCCACCCCCACCACCACCCCCACCCCCACCACCGCAAGAAAATCCGCGCGCACGCCAATTCTTCCGTCCGTCCACCAACAGACGGAGTCCCTCCCTTGTCATCACACGTCGCCGCCGACGGGGACGCCGCCAAGAGCACGTGCTAGTGCAGCTAAAAGCAAAGCAGTAACCGCGGGCCAAACCCACTTCCGTCACCTGCACACCCGTCAGCACCGGTCCATCACCCATTCCCAGGCTCCATCCCATCCAACACAAACGCCTTACCCCTGCCCTGCCCTGCCCCGCCCTGCCCTGCAGCAGGGCAAAGCCAGTTGCCGGAGTCCGAAGGACCATGGGACCAGAGCCCGGAAGCCCAACCCTCCAAGTAGAAGGGGTGGTGGTGGTGTGATCCAAAGTCCAGCACGACGCAAAAACAGGTGAGAAGGCGTTGTCCATGCCACCAACCGTCCAGAGCTGCGGCCTAGGGACGATGAGCTTTGCGAAGCTGATCGCTGGAAGGGCCCGTTGCCCGACGGCAGGGCGGTCCCCTCGGGTGCGGTAGCCCTCCCCCCCCTGCTTTGCTGTCCCGTGGTGTGTTGGGAGCAGTGTGTCGAAAGCAGCGACCAGCCGCTCAGCTCTCTAGCTCTCTTTCCGTAATCCCCCTTCCGTGTGTGGGCGGTGCCGTTGGCATTTGCCGGGCAGCACTCAGAGCCCAGGCCACTCAGGCGGCGCTCTATATCTCAGATATGCAAGGTGGTGAGCCGGTGAGCCGGCCGCGAGCCGGCCGGGGCTGCCCGGGCTGCGAGTCCTCATCGGCAACGATAACGGTGCGCGTGTGTGTGTGTGTGTGTGCCAGAGGCCGTGTCGGCGTGTCAATCATCTGCACACGAAGACCTTACAAGGCTAAGAGGACAGCAATCACATGTCAGGGAAAGCTCCGGAGGGGCTGCACGTGTGCTGTACCTGCTGCTGTAGCTGCTATTGCCGCTGCTGCCATCTCCCTCCATGGAGCTGTCTGCGGGCTGGCGCTTTGCGGGCTTCGAGACGGGGTAAAGAGCGCGGATTGCAGACGAGGTGCCACCGATGGTCACCAATCAGGCCGAACACTTGGCTGTCCTGTCAAGGTGGACGGTTGGACAGAGTTTCGCGATGGTGGGCGGCCGTCAGTGTCGGCCTTGCACGCCAGCGGCAGTCGCCTGCCCGGGCGGCAGCTGTGCCGCCGGAGGCCCGGGCGGCGCCGGCGGCTGCGGCAGCTTGGCGGTGCGCGGCAGCCGCGGCGCCCCCTCGATATCCTCGTACAAAATCTCCAGATCCGATTTCTGTACGATCTCCCATTGGTTGATGTCAAAGATAAGGTACGACCCGCGCTCCCCGCGCGGGCTTTTCTGGACGGCCGTGTTGGGCGCGTGCAGCATCCAGAGCTTGTAGCGGCGGTGAAACCACCAGCCGCGGACCGAAAGCTCATCGGCCGCCAGCAGCTGTGCTTCATCGCCCGGCATAGAATAAAACATGTAGAACAGCGTCTCCTCCTTGAACTTGGAGAGATATCCAGGCTGCGGAATTGGAATCAGAACCGGGGGAAATCAAAAATAGATCCAGATCTAGAATGCAAAAAAACAACAGCAGCTGCCATCGATTCCGGGCCGGGGACAATTATTCCTGGGACGAAGCAGAAACGAGGCCCAAGAAAGGAAACTGGACGCGGAAACCGCCGACACTGAGAGGAGAAGCAACCGGCTGAATGCCGGCGCGAATCCGCCTGAAGCCTTAGCAACATATGCATACACACGCATGCAAAAACGAAGCGTGCGGTGATGTAATGTGGCACATCGCGCCAGCTGCCATCGTGCCATAATCGCATATGCTGTCTGTCCGCCTGTGCCCACACTGTGGCCAATCACTCCCTCGTCGCACTACAACCGGTCGTTCCAACGCCTCGTTCCGGCGGCTCTGCATGCTAAGTGACTATCAGCTGACTGTAATGTAAATTTGAACAACAGTCTGCAAAGCATCGTCGTGAGGGTCGAAATGATCGCTGGACGCCTAACTGGCTTTAGGCAACTCAGTTGATATCGCTGCTAGAGCTGCTGCTGCTGCTGCTAGAGCTGTTGCCGCTCCAAAAACGGTAACGACAGGCACATAAAACCGTGGGGCACGCAACCCACAACCCTTAGCGGATGGTGCATCCATTCGCGCATCCATCGTGTAGTGCAGAGACGGTGACGACACCGGTGCCGCCGCCGCCATCGCCGTCAAAGCGCGCCGAGAACGTGAACAGACGCAGCAAGGGGACATTTCCTCCTGTACTCATTACCCCCCACTCTCTCTCTTTCCTCATATAAGGCGGGATGGATGTTAGTTGGTACGTTCCACGCCCCCATGCCGCCGCCCCCTACCTGCAATCGCTGAGGGAGGAACTTATAGCACGTGGGCAGATCAAAGTCCGGCTCCGCCTTGATCGGGTTATCCGCCAGGGGTGACACTAGCGTCGAATGCAGGTCGCCTGGGGGTTTGGAAAACCACAGGAAACGACGGGTGGTGGTGGGGTGGGGGTGGTCCACGGAGGCATGCGGGGTGCAGAGGGAGGATTGCCGTTCCACCGGTCGGCAAAAGTGCGAGAGGAACTCGCCTTCACCACATACACACACATCTATACATGCATATAGAAGTGTATATACATGCATATAGAAGTGTATATACATACATACATACAGCTGGTGCTTAGCCGGTCATCCACCCTTAGCGTCCGTCGAAGGAGTGTTACTCCTTGCCTAATGCCCCCCTTACTTTTGGCACCGCCCACCACCACCTGGTTAGGTTGTCGGATGACAACCTGACAACCTGGCGTAGGCCCAGGCCGAGAGCGACTCGGCACCCATGTCGAAGGGAGTTGGTGCTCGTGTCTTTGTGCACGCATATGAAGATTAACATCTTGTTAGTTTGGCTGCATTAGCTGCATGACTGACTGGTTGGGTACCGTTGAGGAGAGGGGCTTCACACAGCTGTACCACCAGCGCAAATCGCCCACAAATCTTTTTGAGCCAGCTGTGCTCTGCTCTGTGCCAGCTGCGCAGCACACGTGCTCTCTGACATACACCCGCACTTGCACGCAGATGGCTATCCACCTCACGCAATTGAACATACGCCTACAAACGGGCTTCACAATTTCGCTGCCTCATGACATACGCCTAAATTTCACTTGTTGTCGTCGTCGCCGCAAAGGCAACGGCAGTCCAACGCAGCACTCGCACCTGCAGCATTCAGGTTGAGGCCCAGACCAGTGAGATCCGTCCCCAGCGCCAACATCGTCAAATCCGCATCCGTCATTTTTATGAGCGGCAACAAGCCCATAAGCCCGAACCGGTCCGCCTTGGCGGCAGCCACCGCCGCTGTCGCTGTCGCCGACCCAGGCTGGGACTGACCGCCACCCAACTCGCTCCCAGGCCCTCCTTTACCCGCCATGCCGCCGGGCCCTGGAACCAAAAGCCCCTGCGACAGGCCTCCACGCTGCTGCTGCTGCTGCAGCCGCAGGTAGGCTTCATACTCCGCGGTCCCAGGCTGACCGGCCATGTGCTGGAGAAGCTCCGCGCCAAACCCAGATCCCGGCCCGCCACGTCCCCCTGCCGGCTGGTGCTGCTGTAATGCCCCTGCAGATCCCATGCCACCGCCTGCGCCTGCGCCGGCACCTGCCCCAGGCCCCAAACCATCTCGCTGGGATGACCCCGGCAGGGCGGGGAAGTCCTCATTCTGTATCTGGAAGTCACCTCCGCCTCCGGCAGCATTGGCGCCGTGGCCCGCCGCTACGGCAGCAGCTGCCGTACGAATCCCGAGCTTGGCAAATGGGTCATTTCCGGAACTCGACGTGAGTGCGTCACGACCCTGGCGAGCTGCTGCATTCGCAAGCAGCGAAGGGAAGTCGCTGTTGTCAAACGCCGCACCATCCTGATCCCCTGGCACGTGTTGCTGTTGCTGCTGCTGCTGCTGTTGCTGCTGTTGTTGTTGCTGCTGCTGTTGTTGCTGTTGTTGCGCCGCTGCCGCCGCTGCGGCTGCTGCCACCTGCTGTGCCTGCTGCTGTTGGGGCTGCTGCGTTTGAGGCATTTGCAGCCCCGCAACCGGCCCTCCCAAGTTGCCGACCGCCCCCGCACCGGCGCCGAAACCAGCAGCGGAAATCCCCAGGTTATTTAGCGCAGCCGCAGCGCCAAAGGCGCTAGCCCCGCCTGGCATCTGCTGCTGCTGGTGTTGTTGTTGTTGCTGTTGTTGCTGCTGCTTTTGTCGATTGAGGATAGCTAGCAGCTCGTGGGTGTTAGGATTAGAGCTTGGGAGCCCCCCCGCAAGCCCTTGCTGCAAGAGACCCAGACCGGCTGCCCCTGCATTTGCCATTTGCAATCTGCTTTGAAGATTGCTTCCCTGCAGACCACCAAGACCAGCAGCAGCTGCGGCTGTTAGCTGCGCGTTTAATCCCAAACCGGTGAGCCGCTGGGGGTTTTGAAGCGCAGCCGCCAAGGGGTTCTGGGCCGCCGCGTAGCCTTGTAACCCCGCCAAGCCGGCGCCAGCCGCCCCTGCCGCTGCGGCGTTGAGGTTTGCGGCCAGACTGAGGTTTGCCGCTGCCGTACGGTCAACACCAGGCTGTCGCATGCCGGCCAGCGGGCCCAGTCCACCTATCCCTTGTGCCCGGACACCTGCACCCGCCGCCCCTGCGAGGACGCCGTTGGCTATTTGCGCATTGGTCAAAGATCTCCCTTGCGCCTGAGCATACTGTCCGAGCTACATGGGACGTGGGAAAGGGGGGAGAAGGATCAAGGGGAGATTTTGGGCTCGGTCCAGCGCGGGGAAGAGAGCAAGGAAAAGCTCAGGGCGATAAATCGTGAGAAAGCCGGAGAGGGTGTTTGTGCGTGCATGTGCCAATATGCAGCCAAGAGGGTGCCTAAGAGCGCTATAGACCCGTTCTGTATGCCAGTTGGCTCACCTGTTGCTGCAGATTAGACTGAAGAGTGTTTGCCGCAGCGAACCGGTTCTGCGCTGACTGTTGTGGCCCCGCTGCACCCGCTTGGAGCCCAGCAATGCCAGTCCTGCAAGCAAGATGAACGGTCAGAACGTTGTTGCCGCCTCAGCGGAAATTGCCCGCAACGCCCCAAATACCTGACACCTGGAAGCCCGCTCTGCATTCCTCCTTGCAAGGCACCTTCATAGAAATGGAGTTGTTTTCTGGATTAGACAAATAGTTGGAAATGGATCAAAGCGTGACCTGCTTTGCCCACTTACCGACAAGAGGAAAGCCCGCCGTCTGCCCTTGTTGCCCATATTGAGCAAAGCCCCTGGCCCCGCTAGGGTCCAAGCCGCCAGGGTTGAGCATGAGCTGGCTCCGGCCTGCACCCAACACCGAGAATGGACGCGAGCGCTCAAGGGTCCCCCAGGCGCTAGCCGAGGCCAATACTGCCAGCGAGAAAACAAACGTTTTCCTGAATGCTTTGAGAATCTATTCATGCATAGGACTACACCTACGCAAGCAGTGGGAAGATCGGCGCTGCTATCGTGGACAGTTTGCAGAAACTCCTTTATACGCACCCCCGACGACTGGCCGTGGCTTGTCCAAAAATCCTAGGTTATTGTTATGGAGCGCTCCGGGGCGACAAAGCACTTGCACTGCAACAACCTAACGGTTTGCAACAAGCGGATGAAGATCTTACGTGCTTGCCTCAACGGGGCACAACAAGAAACGCAACAGGTGCTGTCCAACAGGTCTGTTTTCGTTCTTGTATGTACGGGCGCCTGTAGTACAACGAACCTCTCTCTCTTCATGCTTGCTTAGGTTTTGCATGCCGATGTCCCACTCAACAGTTAAGTGATGTACAAACTGATAATTGGAGACACCGTCGTGCGATTAATCTTGCGAAGAGCAACTCCCTTTTTCCGTAACGTTGCTGCGGGTTGACGAATTGCAGGCTCCGTCGGCAGTATAAGAGACGTTAGGCGCAACCACAGGCAAGCGCAAGACATGACTTACCGCAAATGCATCAGCGTCAAAGCAGATGACAGCGATGATTCATGGCAGTTCCCGATAGACCCACCGGAGAAGCTCTGATGGTGGTTAGCGCGAGTCATACAATACACAGGAATCCGGCTGACTTTAATCCAAACGTGCAAAGCAACCGGCAACTAATAATAACTCAAAGCAACAGCAATATGGCCTATGCGATACAGGAGCTCTTTTTTACCATCCCTTCCAACTGAACATTAGCATGGCTGTCTGGCCATTCGGCGCTCATAAGCGCGTGTGAGATCTTTAAATCCTACCGTCACCAATGAAATGGTGCAGCACATTCCCAGAGGCCTCCGGTAGGAAAGATCCGCGGCCAGATGCAACACCCTATCGTCGTATGTTTCCCGTGATGAGTTCTTTCCTGTTTTTCACTGCAGCTCCCTCGAAGGACAGGCGCAGTTTGGGTATATATGGGTTGACATCAACCTGGATCTTTGGCCAGGTAACCATAGCCGCCTGGGCGTTTACATGCTCCCAGCGCCTTGCCACGTGGGTGTCCACGGCCCCGACACCTCACTGCTTGTACCGTATAACATATATACATTTAACTGAATTCCCACTGCCCACTAGCGGTGACTGTCAAGGTGACCTGTATAAATGAGTTCCCAGGGCTTTTAGTTCTGGTCAGTTCAGGGAACATTTTTCCCGCGGATGTGGCATCCGGGGCAAACAAGCCTGAAGTGAGCACCCACTTAGGGCACCCACAGCTATATTTGCACCAAACATTTTGTGCCAGCACAGTTCCACTGACCCATCCCTTGAGTTTATTAATGGGTTGCTAGTTTCTGTCCAGTGCTCCTTGTCTACCGTGGACAGTCGCGAGCAGCGGCTGGGCCGGTTTGGTCCCAAGGACTGGTGATGTTTGTTGTTTGACTTCACGCGCCATCGAGTACTTTCGGAAAAGAGGTAGCATGGATATTCTCTACTCGTGGCCGCGGAATGAGATGAATGCTACTTTAGCTGGTTCCTCTTGACCCCGACCGGAGGCCTCCGGTCCCAGCCGAATTTGCCATCACTATCACTGACGCTTAGCAATCTAACAGAACGTTGATAGTTGATGTTCTGTGCAGGATTTCCATCTTATGGGCTTCCCAGATAGGTATGTTTTCTACACATTAACACATTCTAATAAGCGAACCGGAAACTTATTTCTGTGCGTAAACTTTGCGACATGAATATCGCCTTACAAAAGGTGAATACCCGAATGTAATGTTGTCGATGGATGTTTCGGTTGTGTCGTGTACGGCGACACGCGTTTCGAGGAGCTTCTCGCAGCCGACAGGCCAACATCCTTTGTGTTTCGCACCAGTCCTGTAGCTGTTGTTATACACGTCGTTCATCGGCCTCTAAAGGCCAGGAATTTCCTTCTAGCTCGGAGCGCGATAGTCGCCATGCACTCCTTGGGCAAGGCAATTCTGGGCTCGGCCCGGCGTAACCAACAAAACGTAAGGTCCCGATCTTTGGTTATGCAATTCATGTCATAGCGCGGCATGTAAAGGTTGAGTGCCGGCGGCTGATCGACGACGAATCGAGCGGCTGATCCCGGGCGCATCCTTTCCGGTAGAACCGCATCACCTGTCGCGCTGAGAAGTGGATTGATATGTGCACTGCAGGGTCAGATCCTTCAGGCTGTTCGTTACTACGCGGTGAAAGATGTGCGATTTGGCATCGAGTGCCGCGATAAGGTGCTGGCCGGCGTGAACAAGCTCGCAGACGCTGTTCAGGTCACGTTGGGCCCAAAGGTGCGATCACAGCTGGGATGTGTCGAAAGATACAATTCCTCCTCATTTCTTTCGAGCCCGCGATGTATGGCACATGCATGGTTGCGCCGCACCCGCCCCAACAACGAAAACAACAACAACGCGTGTGCAGCTCTCTCCTCGTTACCCTGCGTCAGAGAGACAACACGCTAGCTACTACCGAAAAGAACTCTTCTCCTCGCGTGTCGCTGCCTTGCGCGCCCCGGCGCATCCTGTTCACCTCCAAAGTCCCCCGCCCTCACATCTCCGACAAGAGGCCGCAATCAAGGAGGACTCAACCACCCACCCACCCAACCACCGAATTTGAATTTGTGGATCCCGGGAAATGCGATGCCGGAAAATGCCCTCGAATGTGCATTAGAAGGGCCTAGTTATCAAACAATTCGACCTGTCTTTCGCGGCTGGGTCAGTAGCCTATCGGTTATCGGAACCTGCGCCATACAACACCTCTCAACCTCCGCAAAACCCTCTTGCAGCTCCAGCCCCTGCTCCAGCCCCAGCCCCAGCTCCAGCTCCAGCCCCGGCGTGTGATCCTCCCCCACGGCGCATTGCTGTCGACACGCTGCTCCCCCTGCTCCTAGCACCGCCCCTGCTTCTTCCCGCCTTTCCCTCTTGCCCTGGCAGCACCTTCACTCGTTCTCGTGGTTCGTCTTCCCTCTAGTCTTTGCTTTTTGCATATGATGATTTATCCCTCTGACACACCCCTCACACACCCCACACACCCCTAAACATCCCCATTTACCTGCAACGCCCAATGCAGGGCCGCAATGTGATGATCGAACAGAGCTACGGGGGGCCCAAGATTACTAAGGACGGTGTTACCGTGGCCAAGGTGGGTGTGTGTGGGGGGGGGGGCGCGTGTATGGTGGCATGTATGGTGGCTGGGTATGTATGTATGACTTAGATTACACTGTGGGCCGCGAGAGCCGGGGGCCGAAGCCGAAACACAGCGCAAGGGTCGGGTATGTATGTATGTATGTATGTACACGGAAGCGGACGCCCTCCCGTTCCCCGTGACACTGATCGCCTTGTCATCATCATCAACACATACATACATAAATACATACACACGCACCTACACATGACGCAGGCTATCGAGCTGAAGGACAAGTTCGAGAACATGGGGGCCTCCCTGGTGAAGCAGGTGGCCTCAGCGACGAACGATGTGGCCGGCGATGGTGGGTGCAAAGAATGGAGCGTGAATATCAAGTGGACATGGGAGAAGGGCTTGAGACGGGCGGTGCGTGAGAGGTGTCCCATCACCGGGGATCATCATTTATCGGTTCTTTCAACTTTGTTTCGCGTGTGTGTATTTTGAGTTTACCCCTCTTTTTTGTATTTTACCCCTCCCCCCTGCCCATGCAGGTGTTACCCTCTTTCCCCCCCCCCTTCCCTCCCCCTCCCCCCCCCCCAAAACACACACACACTCACCCCTGTGGCTTCCGTTCCGCCTGCCCCTCCAAGCCCGACCCGATACACCCACACAGCTGCGCACATACGTACCTCCTCCTTTTCCCCCCCCACACACTCTCCTCCCTTCCCTCCCCCACTCCTCCCCTTTTTACTCGGTCAGTTCTACGTCTGGTACACTCTTGCCCTGGCAACAGCTTCACTCGTTTGTGGTTCGTCTTTCCCCCCTTTTCGCCCCCCCCCACACACACTCTCCTCCCTTCCCTCCCCCACTCCTCCCTCCTTTTCTCCCCCTGTTCCCCTGTACCCACCCATAGGTACCACAACTGCGACAGTTCTCACTCGCGCCATCCTGGCCGAGGGCTGTAAGTCGGTGGCCGCGGGAATGAACCCCATGGATCTGCGCCGCGGCATCAACATGGCGGTCGACCACGTGGTTTCGGTGCTGAAGGGCCGAGCAAAGATGATCTCCACGACGGAGGAGATTGCGCAGGTTGGTTGGAAGGGGGGGGAAAGGCGAAGGGGAGGGACAGGAGGGTGGTGAAGGAGGGGGTTGGCTGAAGGGCGTGGGGGGGGTTGTGCGGAGATTGGAAAGTATGGGAGGGGAATAAGGGAGCGCGGGAAAACGTGCAAGGAGTTCGACGTGTGAGAGAGATGGTCGAGGGTTGCGTGCATGTCGTTATATCCGTTTGACCGTTGGAAAGGCTCTGGTGGAGGCCCTAACGGTGTCTCTGGTGTTTTTTGTAATCCTATGACGTCAATGTGTGTTTTTTTTATTTTCTTTACCCCGGGTTTTTCCCTCTCACCCTCCTCCCCTTTCACTCCCCCTCCTTTCCCACTCTCCCCAGGTGGGCACGATCTCCGCCAACGGCGAGCGGGAGATCGGTGACCTGATCGCCCGGGCCATGGAGAAGGTGGGCAAGGAGGGCGTCATCACCGTGAATGACGGCAAGACGCTGGATAACGAGCTGGAGGTGAGGTGGGGGGGGGCCCTAGGAAATTGGGGCTGAGGGGGGCAGGAGGTGTAGGGGGTGAGGGTATTAGGGTTGCGAATAGGTTGCGTGTATGTATGTATGTATGTATGAATATATATATATGTATATATATATTGTATATATATGTATATATATATTGTATATATATGTATGAATATATATTGTATATATATGTATGAATATATATTGTATATATATGTATGAATATATATATATGTATATGTATATATATGTATGTATATATCAGGGAAAAAGGGAGGGATAACAAGTCGACCGTACTCGGAAGGGCCCGGAAGTAACCCATCCCCCTCTCCACCCCACCTCACACTACGGACAGACAGACAAACGCACAACCCCGCCACACAAACCCGCAACAGGTTGTGGAGGGCATGAAATTTGACCGCGGGTACATCTCGCCGTACTTCGTGACCGACCAGAAAACGATGAAGGTGGAGCTGGAGAATCCGCTCATCCTCATTTGCGAGAAGAGGATTAGCGGGTGAGTGTACGGCAGCTCAGGGGGAGGGGTGATGAAGCTGGGGGGTTAAGGACAAGGGTTTCACGGGGGTGGGAAACGGCTTTCCTGGCATCTTAGTGTTCCCCCACCCCCCACCTCCCACCCGTGCCGTCTCCCGCATAACCGGCCGCCATCCACACCTGCGCACCCCATACATACATACATATGTACATACATATGTATGTGCATACATACATACATATGTACGTACATGCATGCAGACTCGCTTCCTTGCTGCCGGTATTGGAGAAGGTGGTTCAGGTTCAGCGGCCGCTGCTGATCATCGCGGAGGACGTCGAGAGTGAGGCCCTAGCCACTCTGATTGTCAACAAGCTGCGAGCTGGCCTCAAGGTAGGGGTGGTGGGGGCCGGGGGGCGGGGGAAGGGTGCGTGTGTTTTGGGGGGGAGAGGGGGTGGTAAACTGGCTGGCAGTACCGTACCTGTTTGAAAATCTACCGTAGCTGAATTGGCAACTTCGTTGTCTTCTGATTGTATGTATGCATGTATGTATATATGTATGTATGTATGTATGTATGTATGTATGTATGTATGTATGTATGTTTATAATGGGTCATTCGATGGCGGCGGTGGTTGTGGCGGTTGTTGCAGGTGTGCGCCGTGAAGGCTCCTGGTTTCGGAGACAACCGGAAGGCGAACCTGCAGGACATCGCCATTCTCACGGGAGGCGAGGTACGGCAAAAGGGGGGTTACGGGGCAGCGGGGGTGAGGGTACGGCATTGGGGGGGGGCAAGGACAGGTTGGGATGGGACTGCGGGGAAGATTTACATACATACCGTCACCAGATGATATTTACATACCTATGTATGTGCTTGTACATGACCTCCAAAGGCTCCTTCCTTCCCCCTCCTCCCCCTTCCCCCCCACCTTCACTCGTTCGTGGTTCGTCTCCCCCCCCTCCCTCCCCCCCTTCCT